ACCAATTGTCAAAGGCCAAAGCGGTTTGGCAGCGGGATCCTGACAATATCTACAAAATTTTACATGTTCAGATCAGAAATCAAAATCTAACATAATTTCCAAAAGAAAGGAAAAAAAATGAAGAAAATGCATTTATTCAATTTGTTCTTTCTGTTCTTTCATACAGCTAAATGAAAGTAAAAATTTGCTAAGAAAAATGGTCAGGCGTGTGTATATATATATATATAAACGTATTCCATGACAATTATAAATGGTCATTTCTTGAATCAATAAACTTAAAGGTGAGGCTATGAATAAATCAAAAGCACTGGTAGCCATGGATGAACAGAAAACTAAAAATATCACTCAACAAGTTCATGGATCAAATCAAAACCCTATATCAGGTCAAAAAGGTCAAAGGCTAAATTGGCAAAATTACATCAATTCAACAAGCTCAAAGGTCAGCCTACATGGTGACTAGACAAACACTAATATAGTCAAGTTAATATAACATACAAAAACAACAACAACAACAAGTCTTTATCCCACTACATGGGTCGGCTACATGAATCCTTTTTCTCCATTGTATCATGTTAAGAGACAAATTCTCATTTAAATCTAATAAAAAAAGTATTTCTAATATTTTTTAACCAAGTCTTTTTAGATCTACATTTATATTTCTTAACATAAGCCAGATCTAATATATATACTCTCCTAATTGGGTCATCGAAAGGCCAACGTTTTATTGATCAAAGCACTGGAGATGCTCCAATCTTTTCACACTTATATGCTCATTATGTATTCTGTCACTAGGAGTAAAAAGTCATTCATCCACCTGAGCATCCTCATCTCTGCAACACTTAATTTTATGCTTCTTTGTCAATGGCCAACATTCTACACCATAAAGCCTTGCAAATCTCACCACCATCTTATAAAGTTTGCCCGTAAGTTTGAGTGGTACTTTACTATCACACAACAAGCTTGATACATTCCTCCACTTCAACCATCAAACTTGAATACTACTAATAATATCATCATCTATTTCACTATCACTCTGAATAATAAACCCAAAATATCTAAATTATATACTTTTATTAATGACTTGATCACCCAAAGTCACAATCCATACACACACAAAAAGGCCAAACAAGTCCAAGGACCAAGCAAGTTTTCCAAAAGCTCAAGAGTAATACTCGTCAAACTATTTTAGTTCACAAACCCAAGGGTCCAGCCGACATGTGGATTCAACAAGATCCAGCAGTTGATCATTGTAAGTGGCATCAAATGGTTTCTTCAATGAGATTATGATTCATTAGCTTTAGCAAAAAATGCCAAGAAAAAGATGATGGAGCTGAATGACAATTGGAATTAAATAATGGCAAGTAGAAACAAACATAAAGGTAAAAGGTTGTAAGTACTTATGGTGGACTGATTGGGAGTGCAAAAATAATTTAGGTTATCTTCTTTGCAATTTTCAACCTCAATACAAGTTCGAGTGGTGTTTACAATCATGAAGTATGATGGTAAGAAGAGTAAAGCCTGAGAAAACGATAAAGAAAACCATCTAAAAGATGTTTACTGATTGCAAGGATACATTGCAACCTTTTCAAAGTATTCAACCACTGCGAATAGGACCAAATGCAAGTAAAGGAAGTATATATATATATATATATATATTGTTTAGTGATGTATACTAAGTGGCATGAACAAGAAATCAGATTTGGGTAGATACATACCAAATATCCAAACCGAATTTGATAGAAATGAAAATGTTAATAGGTGTATGGTAAAATTAGAATGATAAAGTGAAATTATTTTAAATGAAAGGTGTAGCACCTATTGAAGATAACATATTTGAAAATAAACAAATTATTTTGACATGCATAGAAAAAATCAGAAGATGCACCAATAACGAGCACAACTAGTATAAATCAATTAATGTAAAAGGCTTATGAAATGAAAGGGATCGATCAAAGTTAACATGGTTACAATTTTCACAAAGAATTTGTAAAATAGAGCTAAGATCTTATGTAGCACATTACAGGAACAAATAGGAAGGAGGAGTTATAAAGTTAATGAGGATGATGACTGGCAGAAAAGCTTAACAATTTTTAGGTGAACTCACGTCTTTTATTAAATAGGTTTTCAATTGTCTACACTCTACAGGATGCATATCTGATTTTTTAAGATAATCCCTTCGTTACCATTTATACCAATCATGTTGGTTGTTGCTGCTTTGAAATAAATAGTAAGTAGGATTAATCATTTCCGTGATTTTCAGTGTTCTTCAAACATTCACTTCATTCCTGAATCTAAAAGTTCATATGCAAGATAGTAGTTTGAACATATTGTGCATAACATGAAAAATGTTTATTCATGACTTTCTATTCACATGCTGTCTATGAGTTCTATATAAGAATCCTGTTCAAGTGTATAATTTTCAGGAATAACATTTTCAGTGCTGTCCTCTCTTGCCAAATGAGATACCGAACTCTCTTTTTAAAAGAGCAATAATTTTCCAATGTCCAAACAAATCAACTCGCTCCATTTCAATTGGATTGAATTGATTTTAGATAAATGTCAGAATGATGGAAAATTCTGGGGAGATGTAGAATTAATATTTGTGCTCTGGAGCTTGTCCTGCTTCAATTGTTATCTTCTACCATGGCATTGTGAGTTAGCGGTATGAAAAACACTGGTGTTCATAAAAGGGGATAATGGGGACTAAAGACCTTGGAGTCTTGTAATATAGGTATTTGGATAGCCGTTTTAGACTTTGACTTGTGATTTCTTTTTAAATTCTTTAGTTTTAATTTATTGTCAGTTATGGCCTGTTGGTGATGTTTTTATGGCAGTTGCGATAAATAATGGGGTTCATTTGATTTATTATTTGATTGTTGTAAGTTCCTAGTTCAGAAAATCCTTATTACAAGCTCATTCTGCTTGTTTGTTGAAGTATGTTGTGAGATTGTAGAAATTAAATTTCTATTGATGACATTATTTTATAAATAAGTTGCAGCCTTTTAGGTTTAGTGCTGACAAATAAGGACTCTGGTCAGGCAAAACTGACTGAATATACACCAATATTCTTATATAATGACATTCTGATTTAAACAGTTTGAATGTATCATGTTAAACTTCTCAGAATAAATAATTTACCAAAAATTAATAAGGTAGGAGAGGAAAATAAAAGGTTAGGAATCCACTTAAAATTGTTCGCACGCCAAAAACAAAAGGACCCAAATAGCACAATATAATGAAAATTAACTTAATATACAACTTGATGTGATATCTAAATAAATATGAAAGCAAACTTACCTCAACACTTGCTCGGGTGCTTTAGCAATGCGTTCTTGAAATGATGCCCAAACCTTTTTATCTGTGTCAGCCTGCATGAAAGTATAAAACATCCCTTCTACTGTTTATGTTCTCATGATCTGAACTAATATTTACAGAACTTTGTCATCAATACGGGGCCAATACCTCAAATTTGTCTGACAATAATTGATATGTTTCATCTATTCTGTTACTTGTAAATGCCAAAGAGGTGATAGATCTATTATCTTCAGGAATTTCTGAATCAAATGTGCATTCCTCCTCTATTATGATCTCATATTCAGGCCATAAGCTATTGCTGGCATCTGCAATAATGAAGCCTGTGAGCCATTTTGGAATATCAAGAACCTTCATGCATGAGAGTATGTTCTCTTACATTTCTCTGTTGCTCTTACTTTTGCTTTACCATTAACAATGCAAGATGCAGAAGTTTCTGACAGATTCAGTATCTTGGAGCACTCAATTTTATGCCCTAACCGCCAATGCAAAGACTGGAAAAAGGCAGTGCTATATATCAACAATTGTAATGCGAACCTTCATAAGAAAATGGATTTAAATTAGCATTAAGCTAACCTGGTGTTTCGCAGAGCAGTAACGAGCACTTTTGCAACTACCGCAGACTTTGTCCCCTTTCCAGGACCCACACCAACAACACAATGGAGCTGTCAAAAGAATCATAAAATAAATTTAAAAGCAAATTCATTATAAGACCATTGGACTAATTGAATTTCAGAAATTCTTGTCAGTCTCCAAGCATTTTTATACATACATGGCATCTGATGAGATTTTATTGTGTGAGCGAGAGCATTCACAAAGGGAGTGATAATGAAAGCTCATACTAAACAATCAATCCATAATGATAACTTGCCATTCCTTTTGGAACTATATATAAAAAACTGAATAAATGAAGTTCAACAATTATAAAATTTTAGACCACATGCACATGAAGGTGTTAATCATCAATAGTATATATACTAGAAAGCAATAAAAATATGAAAGATGATCCCATGTGCAATATTTCCCCTAATTTCAATACTCAATCAATAGATTGTCAAGCTTTAACATGTGATTTGTATTATATGTTCTCATAACTAATCAGCTAACTCAGCTATTTTAGAATGTCTTTACTGAAATTAATAAAAACTTCTAAAGAATAGTTTGAGGCTTCGTTTGGGTCAGCTTTCTTACTGCTTTTAAAAGCAGCTTTTTAGTAGAAAAATTTTATTTTTTTACTAAAAACCTGCTTTAAGAAGCGGTCCCAAACGAAGCCTGAGTGAACATGAGCATTTTCTCCATAAAAAAGGTACAATTACTATCAAGTTCCATGCAATGATTAAGGGATAGCTTAAATACATTTCTATAAATTACCTCCATTAATGGTTGGTATATCGGTGCCATTACGCTTAGGAGGTTCACTTGAGTAGAACGGATTTGATCTAGGCAACTGACAACGGAAAATCTTCACGCTTCGAGAGAATAATTACAAAACAAAAAATCAAAAAGAACTTTGTCAATTTAGTCATATGTGAAGAATGTCATACACAAAGGAGAGTTCTAAAACATTCAAAATTAAATCAATATAAAGCCAGAAATACCTTCGACAGGGATTTTCTACAGTGCGCTTCCATTGTTCGTGTTGGTCCCTCAAAAGACACGACATCGAAGGGCACATAAACACGTAAAGCATCCGATGGAAAGTATATTCCTTATCAGAAATTGGTGCATAAATCTACAAAAAAAGAATGGGAACTCCTAGCTGCGGAATCATTGAAAACGACGCCATGGACAAAAAAAGGAATGGTAAACTCCAAATGACAGGTATTACCTGAAGAAGGAATTGAAGCGGCTCCCTGCAGAACCCACAGGTAAAAGATTTCTCGGCAGGAAGATCCACAGGGTCCAACCACGCCTGGATATATTGAAATTGGAATGAAGCTTGTAGGGAAATGTAAGATCTAAGAACAATTCCGAGAATAAAGAAAATAAAAAAAGAATAGAAAAAGGAAAGCTTTTTTACGGGAAAGCCTCCGGCCTTGCTGGGAAAAAGATGACGGAGAAGCAGACGCGGGTTCTTGGGCTTCTCAGCAAAGCCTAGGGTTACCTCAACCTCATCTTCTTCCTCCTCATCGTCATCGTCGTCTTCCTGCTCTCCCTCCTTGCCAAAATCATCTCTTTCTTCGTCTTCTTCTTCATTTTCGATAGAAGTTATTCGAAGCGAACGTAGATCAGATTCCATCGACCCAGACTCCGAAGAAAACCAAGCACGATGAACTGCAAGGCAAAACCCGGCACATTGCAGTGTCCTGTGTCCCTAAAACCCTGATCGAGTAATCGTAGGGTAATTCCTAATTGGTGTAGGTTAATTTGGCATTTTAGTAAATTAAATAGAGTACTTATATTTAATCTAATAAAATATAGCCGTTTATTGTAATAATTATCATTTAATTTATAATTAATATATACAATCCTTCTTTGTTGACTTCAAAGACATAAATCAATTAGGGATGCATTTATATTTATATATCTAACTCCTAAAATTTAATATTTACTTCAATAACACCTAAATATATTTTCTATCACTATCCATAACTCTACTTGATATTAATTTGTATAATCATCCGTTAAGATCCAAACTACACAGACACTCTCATGCACTCTTCCCTACAATCCGTTAAGATATATATAATAATGATAATTTAATTTATTAAATAATTATTAATAAAAAAATTTAATTGACATATAGCTCATGGTTCTTTTTTTTTTTTTGGTTACTTCTCTCCATAACTTTTTTATTTTCCTTTTCCAAGGCATTCTTGTAGACTCAAGTGTATTAGATACACCAATCTTCACTCTATCTTCTATTATATTCCATTAATCCTTCCTTTAAGAGTTAATATTTTTACTTCAAGAGTATTAATTACATTATATAGTGCATTACATGGTGGGAGTTGGAAGAATCATTGTTGACATATTCGTTTGGTTGGCAGGACCAAATTCAACAAGCAATTTAGGTCGGAAGGAAGGACTATAATCAGACGATGGTGGTCAGAAGGACCATAATCGAGTGATGGATATTAGAAGGACCGTAGTTGGCAGGTGACGGAGGTTGGAAAGACTGTATTCAGGTGATGACGGTCAGAAAGATCGTAGACGGCGGGCAACAGAGGTTGGAAAAACCGTAGTCAGATGACAGTGGTCAGAAGGATCGTAGTTGACGAGTGACGGAGGTTAGAAAGACTGTAGTCATGTGACTATGATCAAAAGGACCGTAGTTGGCAAGTGACAGAGGTTAGAAAGATCGTTGTCTAGTAACGGTGGTTGAAAAGATTGTAGTCAGGCAACGACGGTCAAGGAGATAGTAGTATGAAGATGGTGGTGAAAGAAACCAAAGTCGGCGGGCAACAGAAGTCGAAAAGACCGTAGTTTGGCTATGATGGACGTGGAGGCCGTAATCTGGTGATAATTGGTGACCATGAGAAAATCCAACGATAATTGGTGGCTAGGCATATGTCCGATCATAGTTGGCGGAAGTCCGACAAAATTTTGACGACATTCGGTGGTTGGACGATGATTGAGGAGGAGCTTCGTGGCAAGAGAGACCTCAAATTTATCTTATTTCTTCCTCTTCTCTTTCATTCTCTTCCTTCCTCACCCCTCTCAGCGAAAAAATGAGGGTTCTATTTATAAATTTTTTTGGATTGGTATGACCAGTAAAGAGGGACAAGATTTTAGGGCATGTTGGACATGTTTCAAATGGATAGCTGATATCAACTCATTTGCTCATAGGTCGTTTATAGAGTATTTAAATATCATAATAATGTCAGAATTTGACAATCTTGGGCTTGTTGGATTCGACTCATCGATCCGTCTGATTTGACTATAAGCATGTCATATTTGGAAACCATTTGGTCATCTAATTTATGGTTTAAACCTTCCAAATGTGCCTCGGGTCTTTGATTTGAACCCATTTGGGTTCGGATTGGTTCGAATTTGATGTAGTTGGATTCGTCTTTTCAAGATGTTCAGTTCAACTATAAGTTTAGTTATCGGAGTTTAGATGGTCCCAAATTTAATTTCGGAAGTTTACAATTCAATTTTGCCTCAAGATTCATACCTGATCACGATTAAATTTTGATGATATATCACTTATATTTTCTGGAGGCTCCGCCTTGGCTTTTTAGGGAGTCAGGGACTTTATTCTCCTTATGCTTGTAGAAAATTAGTTGTCCCTCTCGTAATATATGGGTTGTTATTGCTGGCTTGCTACATTTTCTGCACTTCTAAACCATGATTTGCAATGCCATAACCCTCCATCACTCAGTCTGATTGCAAAGAATGATCTTTGCACAATAAAAGCTGTAAAACTTCAATTTTCCATTTTTGCAATGTTCAAAGGAAGTTGGGCGGCATCTTTTAAGTTCGATGGCAGTAAAAGTGGTGCTATTTTGTTGAAAAAATCATCAAAAGAAGAATCTTATGAAGTTTGCACTTTATTTACTTGTAGTGGCTGATAATTTTTTCTGAAGCAGCAGTTTCTAATCTGATTGACTTCTTCCTATAAAATACTTATGACTACTGGCTGATTTTATTTAGATAACCTAAGATTTGGCTAAGAAGAGTAGAGAACATACAGCAGATGATCATATGAACATACAGCATATGATCTATTTCGATCATCTAAGATTTGGCTAATTCAATTCAATTTACTATAAAATGTATGAGCATTCCTTTAAGTTTATGACGCAACTATAATATGAAATTCAAAATTTAGGTTTCGTTTGGGACGGCTTTTTTACCCCCTTCTTAATGCAGCTTTTTAGTACAAAAATTAAATTTTTTTTACTAAAGAAACTGCTTTAAGCAGCAATAAGAAAACCGTCTAAAACGAAGCCAAATTCTATATTTTAGATGTCCAATCTGCATGTAGGGCTACTTTGGAATCTTAATTCTTATTATATGTTCTTGTGGACATATCAGTAAAATTTTGTGATTTAAAGAAGATTGCAAGATGTTGATTAGTGCTATTAAACAATATAGAGTTACAGAAATATTATTCTTTTCAACAACATAAATTTGCAACCAAATAAACACAGTTAGGAAATAGAAGGAACTTTCCAAAAACGGAATTGATGAGTGGTTTTTGTGGTTTCACTTTTCAACCGTATACATCATTTAAGACCATGAAACAAGATCATCATGAGAGTTCTATGGTGGTCTTCAAAATAAGCTTAAGAATCAATTTTATGTCTTATGACTTTTAGGCTTCGTTTGGGACAGCTTTTTTATTGCTTCTTAAAATAACTTTTTAGTTAAAAAATTAAAATTTTTATACTAAAAAGATGCTTTAAGAAGCAATAAAAAAGTAGTCCCAAATGAAGCCTTAATTTAAGAAAAAATTCAGTATAGTCTCCTGACTCTTTGTATGTAGTCAATTTAGACTTAGAGAATCATATATTTCCAACTTTCTCTCTCGTCTATATAGATCAATATAGTCAATCAAACAAAAATTAATAGAAATTGAGATACAAAATTGATCTCAATTTAGTACATCGAATATACAAAACTTATCCTAATTTAGTCCCTTGAGGAATATTTGAAATCATGTTTTTTAGCAGATAGACTAAATATGAGAAATGTGATATTTTGAGATTAAATTGACCACATATGAATAATTGGGACTATTTTGATATTTTTTCCTTATTGAATTTAGTTAGATTAACTTGCATGCATAACAACATTCTCAAAAGATCCTTAAGAGTTGATGGCACATGTTGAATGTTTTCTACTTTCATAATCTAAGCATCTAATTCTCTTTTATCCACTTACACAACTTGTATTATCTCTATCTTTTATCCTCTACATTATTTTATTCCTAATGACAATACCTTCCTGAATCAAAACGTAAAGAAGTGTTGCTCTGGCTCACAAGTGTCCAAGTCCTTGTCTTTCACCTTATACTATCGTGCAAGCATTTGGGTTCTCTTCGCTGAACATAGAAGTAATGTGGCCTCCATCTCCACTAAGTTGTTTGTGGTAATAATCAGGTCCCTCTGACCTTTGAGGAGCTTCCCTGTTGTAAAGATATTCTGTAATGGAGGAAGAAGGTCTGTAATTGCTGTAACTGTGAATAAGATAATGTGGGCTGGCATTCCACTGTTCCCTATAGTTATCGTTGTGAGGGTAGTGATGAACCATATGGATTTCTCCCGCAGCTTTAGGCTTTGAAGTGGATGCCTCATTGGATTCAGGCACTGGCTTGACATCTGGGCCCTTGTTTTCTGCAGGTGTGGTTTCTTTGGGTGGATCCAATGGTGGTGCGGCCTCAATTGGGGCTTGATTAGTTGATTCAGTGCTGTTTGCTTCCTGTTCAGCTGGTGGAGTCTCTGAGCTGCTCGGCTCGGTGGTAGCCTCTGCGGGCGTGCAAATAGTGGCAATCTTTCTTGTCTTCTTAATGGCCTTCACAATCTTTTCAGGTTCTACTCTACCCACCACTGTCAACTTTTGATGAGCTACATCGATGTATACTTCATATATGCCTGCAGGAGTTGATTCAAATTCAGAACTTGAAAGAGAGAGAGTGAGAGAAAGAAAGAGAAAACAAAACTGTTTTAGGTGGAGAAGAATGATTGATCACCATCAAGGTTATGCAAAGCTCTTTTAATCTTCTGCACGCAGCCATTGCAGTCCATTCGGACGAAGAACTCAGTCACTTGAGCTTTCTGCAAATTCATAGCAAAGCTTAGAATCCAAACCTTCAAGTTTTCAGCCAGATCGTTTGATTGAATGGAGTAGAATTGAGAATGAGCGACTTACTCTCTGTTCTGTATCCATGGATGCATCAGGAAGTAGAGGAAAGATGGCTCTTTATAGATTGTAAAATAATCGAAGGTTGGATGCTACTTTATATATGATGGATGGAATATTTGAAAGGTAAAAGACGTTGGCCACACCATGGAATCAATAGGAGAGTAATTGGGGAAGAAAGTGATAAGAGGGACCCCTTTGGGCCACTTTCATTGCTTTTATTTGAGTTGCTATTGTGGTTGCTTTTGGGGAAAATTATTGCGTGTGGAGTTCGGATTCGTCCAGAGACAAATCCGGACGTGCCACGACACCCGGGGCCCGGTGCATCCGGGTGACGTGAAGAATCTGGATTCGCCTCAGAACGATTCAGACGCCGTACGCAATAATCTCTGGCAAGAGATGAAGGGGGGAGGTGCTTGTTTGTATTATACAAACCAAAAAAGATTTGCTTTATTGTGGCTAATGTTTGATTGATTTATAATTGGAATATCCTGGCTGGCCATAGAGATTAAAAGGGGCACGATCATGGCTCTGGGTCAAAAAGAAAGTGTCACTTTTGATGAAGGATATCTACTTTTCAAGCATCTCCCATGGGAAAGAAAAGCATTTTTCCTTGTTGTTGGTGATCTAGATATGCAAGATTAGCAAAAAAAAGTGCTGGATTCCATTTTTTTTCTTCTTGTCAGAAGGGCAATAAGCTGCAATTTAAAGTCCTTAATTGTGAAATTCTGTAATGTGTGTGGGCAGATTAGTCTCTTATTAGACAATTCATTTACTCTAATTATATCAACCATAGGGTGCTTGTTCATCCCAGTAATTCATGTGCTATGATTATTTGTATTTTGATTTTGTTTTAATTATTTTCTTAATTTTATGACTAATAATTGATAATATTTAGCTACTATAAATATATACCTTCTCTTGTAGTTTGGAAGAGGAATATAAGATTCAAGTTTTCTTGTCCTTACTGTCTCTCATTGTTAACATGGTATCAGATCTCCATTGTTATTCCCTTTGTTACGAGGATTTCTAAATCATGTGTTGCAACTTCATTGAGACTTTACGATACTTTACTCAATTCGTTGGCTCCTTAACAAATATTAATTATAATTGTTGCGTACTGGAATATTTGTGATGGTAGAGAAGTATAAGTTTAACGTCTTGGCCTTGTATGAAGTTCCAGCACACAATCAGATAAATTTTTTTAATGAATTCACTAGTGTTTGCATTTGATTACAAATAAGGCCCTTCATTGGAGGGAAGGCATTGACTTGATGTAACAAATATACATCATATAGAATGCATTACATGGTAGAAATTGGAAGAATCAGAATTGATATATTCATTTGTATTTTCAAGACGTTCAGTTCAACTATAAATTTATTGAAATCGGAGTTCAGATGATCCCATATTTAATTATTAAAGTTTCCAACTTGATTTTGCCTCGAGATTTGTGACCGATCAAGATAAATTTTTGATGATATATCAATAATATATGTCGCAACTTCGTCCATGGTTATAACAGCACTCTTGAAAGATTTTCTCAAATATAATTTACTAGGCATACTCTGAATGGGCAAGATGATCTCCATCAATGATTATTATCTCACAAGTGCAACATTTCCTTCTAAAAAAGAAAATTCAAAATTCAGAACATGATGATTGTTAAATAATATGATAATGTATTAGCTCATTAACGCTATATAAAATAAAATTGGTCAAAATTTAATATTAATCAATAATATGAACTGTGATATTCAATACTAATAATACTCTTAGAAGATATTGACAACAATTGAATATATTTAAAGAATACCTAATTATAGAGAATAATTATTTGGAGTGATTTAAATGGACATATAGGTTATAATAGGATGTACTATTTAATAATTTATGATGGGCATGAAATATGATATATAGTTGTAATAGCACAAGCTCTACTTGATTTCTTAGCTACATGTGGTCTTGATTATAACTAGCACACTTTTTAAGAAATGAATTCATTTAGGCTTCATTTCAGACAGCTTTTTTACTGCTTTTTAAAGCAAATTTTTAGTACAAAATTTTTAACTCAAGAATCTGTTTTTTTTTTAAATTGCTCTTGAAAGCAGTATGAAAACATTTGTTGTGATTGTTTAATATACGTATAATAGAGCATATATCAGTATTAAAAGTATATATAGGCTAGTCAAAAGGTTCCTAATAAGGGTGTAAACGAGTCGAGTCAAGCTCAATGCACAACTAGGTTAAGCTTGGCTCGCTTCTTTTATAATTGGCTCAAACTTGAGCTCATGTACAAAGCTTGAACTTAATTGAGTGATGATTGCTAAGCTTGAGATCAACTAGAGAGCTAAAGCATGGCTTGATATTTGAGCTTTGTTGATTCAAAAATTCTAGAAATTTTGTAGTATGAATCCATAATATACAACTAAAAATTGGCTTGGAATTTTTAACAATCATTTTATCTATTGGAAAGTCAAATATGGCTTTTAAATTTCTTTTGTAAATAAAATTGTTGATGCTACACAAGAATGAAGTTAATGAGGTTGATTTGGCTCAACAACTTACATAGAGTAAAAATTAAGAAAATCAGATTAAAAAACTACCCAATATTTAACAACAATATATCAAATCCTCAAGTTCAAAAATAGTTGAACTTGCTTGAAATTACTTCTCAATTACATAATGCATCATATAATATCATATCAAGGAGATTTCCCCTTTTGCATTTTTTTTATATTACATATGTGATAAAATTAGCATAAGCGTGAAAGGGTTGGAGTAGCTCCAATGCAATATAAGATTAGAGAGGGTCATCTTAAATAATTTGGTCACATAAAACAGATGCCTTCCAATGACCCGGTTATGAGAGTAGATGTATTAGATTTATCTTATATTAAGAAAGATAGAGGTAGACATAAAAACACTTGGTTAGTAAATATTATAAATGACCTTTTTTATTAGATTTAAATGAGAATTTGACCCTTAATATAATACAATGGAGAAAAATGATTCATGTAGCATACTCCACGGTTGGATCAAGGCTAAATGTTTTTGTACATATGTGATAAAATTATACCAACCACTATAATTACTTGCCGCACCATATTGACCGACTTTAATACCATTTCTTGCACTATTTGTACCGATTGTTCCAATTCAAAAAGATGTCACGTTCACCTTCACTTTATGATTTAGAATTTCAGGCACATCTTCTTATAACTTGTTTAACAAACTTCATACAAATGAAACATTCATTATACTTTAATCTCATCTATAAATCATATGATGTACAAAGTTAATCCAAACAAATTTATTCTAGGATATGCAAAGTTTAAACATTTAAGATTGAGCTTGTTCATAAGGATTCTCAATCTCTAGATTCATTGACTCACTAATGAATCTCCTTGTAATACATCATATAATTCTCAACATCTTTCTCACAAATTTCAAGCATAAAATAATATAAATCAAACAATACAACTCATTAAGAAACCTCTTTCAATAATAGATAAATGAAAAGATGATTTTCTTTGAAGGCATCTATAATACAGACATATTTTTCAAATATGAATGATAAATGATTTTAAACTCTACAAGATTAATTACAGGTAATTGTGTTATGTAGTGCTCAAAGCAAAAAACATTTATACATTCCCACCAATTACAGTACAAGTTAAAGCATATTAATTATAAACTCAATTTTTTGATTTCTTGACAATTAAATCATCAACAACAATGAAGCCTTTATCCCGCTACGTGGGGTCGGCTACATGAATCCTTTTTATCTAATGTGTCATGTTAAGAGTCAAATTATCATTTAAATTTAAAAATAAAATGTCATTTCTAATATTTTATATCCAAAATTTTTTAGGCCTACCTCAACCTTCCCTAACATAGGCTTAATCCAATACATCTACTCTCCTAACTAGGTCATCGAAAGGTCGACATTTTATGTGTCCAAACCATCTAAGGTGACTCTCTCTATTCTTTTCTGCCATTGATGCTACTCCAACATTTTCATGTACATACTCATTTCACATTTTATATCTAAGAATGAAGCAACTCATCCACCTGAGCATCCTCATATTTGTAACACCTAACTTTATTTTATGCTTCTCTTTTAATGGTCAACATTATGCGACCTAAAACATTGCAGGCCTCACCACCATCTTGTAAAATTTTCCCTTAAGTTTGAGGGCCACTTTCTATCACACAATAGGCCCGATGCATTCCTCCACTTCAACCATCCAACTTGAATTCTACTAAAAATATCCCCATCTATTTCAAAATCACTTTGAACAATATAGCCAAGATATCTAAAACATGTACTCTTATTAATAACTTAATCAACCAAAGCTACAACCCCTCACTAGATCTATTACTACTAAAATTACACTTCATGTGTTCAATTTTAGATCAATTCAAACAAAAACCTTCGGACTCTAAGGTTGACCTCCATAATTCAAGTTTTCTTTCAATCCCTCTCTAGTTTTATCAACAAGAAGAATATTATCATCAAAAAGCATACACTATGGAATATCCTATTATAAATTTTTAGTAAGAACATCCTTGACTAAAGCAAACAGACATGGGTTTAAAGCTATCTTGATGTAATCCAACTGAAATAGGAAAATACTTGGTCAAACCATCATGTAGTTGAACCACATGTAAAGCTCATGTATACATATCATTGATGGCTTGAATATAATCATTATTAATTCCTTTCTTTTCTATAACTCCCTAAAGGACATCTCTAAGAACGTTATCACATGCTTTCTCTAAATCAATAAATAACAAATGTAGATCCTCTTTATCTCTTTATACTTCTCCATCAAACCTCTCGAAAAATATGTAGCTTTCATAATAGACCTATCCGACATAATCCAAATTGATTCTGAGAAACATTAGTATCATGTCTTAACCTCTGCTCAATAAATCTCTCTCATAGTTTTAAAGTATGACACATTAACTTAACTCCTCTATAATTCACTCTTGTGCATCATATTTACTCTTAAAAATAGGAATCAACACAATTCTTCTCCACTCATATGATATCTTTTTAGTCTTCAAATAATATTGAAAAGTTTTGTAAGTCAAAAAATTCATTTATCTCCTAAGCATTTTAATACTTTTATTGGAATATCTTCAAGTCCAACAATTTTTTCATACTTTATTTTCTTTGAGGCTTCTCTAACTTCGATTTTACTAATATGAGGATAAAAATAAAAATTTCTATTTTTCGCAATCTTCATTAAAAAACTTATCAAAATATCTCATCCACCTTTGTTAAATATTCTCTTATAATAAAATCACTTTTTATATTTATCCTTAATGCATTTCACTTAAATTAAATCCATACATTTCATATCTCTTTGTTTGGCTAGCTTATACATACATCTTTTACTCTCCTTAATATCTAATATATCATATAAATCATTAAAAGTTAAATTATTTGCATCACATATTACTTTCTTAGATTCCTTATGGGCCCCCTTTATATATTTCCCAATTTTTTAAGATTTTCCATCAAAATTAATTGTTATAACAAGTTACTTATTTTTTATCTTTTCATGCACATTTTGATTCCACCAAAATTCATGTTTATTATTAGGAGCTTTTCTTTTTGATACTCAAAGCACATCATTTGCAACATTATTAATATCACTAAATTTTTTTTTCACATAACATTAACTTTTCATGCACAATCAAAATCTTAAAATATTAAATCTTACTCTGAAAAATATTTTTGATAGTGCTCTTTAAATGCCCCCATCTAATCCTAGGACAAAATTTTATTTTATTTTTCATATTCCACCATTCATCTTAGAGTCCAAAGATTAATAAACAATTTTAGATACATAAACTTTCACTCGGAATAACTATATAACCTTTACAATCTATACGAACTATTTTTTTTATTAAAAAATAATCAATATAATTTTTTTTATATCCATTCTTATAAGTGATAAAGTGCTCCTTTCTTTTCATAAGGTATTAGTTAGTAATCACAAAATCATAAGATAAAAGCAAAATCTAATGTAGTCCTAGAACTTCATTAGTCACTACAAACCTATATCAACCATAAATACTTTTATAATATTCTACCACTCTATCAACATGTTCAAATCTTCTCCAATAAAAACTCCTTTAAGATGTCATTTTTTTATTAGTTCTTTCAAGTTATTCCAAATATATAATTTTAAGTACTTATTCAAATTTATTTGAGAAGCATAAACACTTATAATGTTAATATATTATCTTATCATCAATAGCAATCTTTAAAACGATAATTCTATCTCCATTCTATTAATTTCTACAATATTATCCTTCGAACTATTATCTATAATAACATACACATCATTTCTAATATGACTCATACCCGAATACTATAATTTAAATGACAAACTATCAATCTCCTTAACCTTCTCATTAACCCATTTAATTTTCTAAAAGCAAGCAAAGCAGCAAACACTTAAGCTCAATTTCATTAAACTTTTTTCACCATTTTCACAAGCACATTAATATAAACGTGGAAATAGCCTAAGTACATGCATCAAGATGTACTCTCAACAATAGATTCATGCACGCAATTAGATAAACTCTTCACATAAATTTAAAGGGGCCTAAACCCTTAACATTGCATGTCTTTTTATTATTTTTTTTTTCAAAATGACTATTGATTCTTTTTTTATCCATGTATTGATAATACTTTATATGTAATTGTGGATTCTATAAGTTTGTAATCACCTTTTGAAAAAGAAATTTTGATTACTCTCTCTTGAGATATTATTCTATGCAGACACCAGACGGAAGAATCAAACACTTCTGCTTGGTACCGCGCTCGATATACTTTTGGGATGATGTGACACATTTTTATTGACTTCTGGACGACGTCCGGACTCCGCACAGAATAATTTACTCTTTCATACGGTGCTAGGTAGCTAATACTTCAGTAAGGTTGAGTAAGATCTTTCTTTCAGTGTGAAAAAGAGTTAGGTACATCATTGGAGAATAAACAATTAAACTATGACGTTTATCTTTGAAAGTGTTCCACGAACCATTAGCTTCTGGTTCTGGCTACAAGTTCCTAAACTCTAAGCACACGAAAATACAATAATGTTTTAGCAAACTTTACAGACTAACAAAAAAAGACAAAAACGGAGTAAGAAAAAGTTTACTTGTACATATGAGCTCTCTTCTGAGGATATGCATACATCACTGCAAGCAGATTATCCTGATACTACAGATTAGAACTAAAGAGAGTTGCAGGACAACAAATTGTATAACTAATGACATTCAAATAAATAAAGGAAAAAAAAAAGTGTATGGTAGTCAATTTTATCAATGGTTTGAAGCTTCAATAAAAGGGGCCTCCCAATGATCTGCTACAGGTTCCCCTTCTGATCCGCGCCGCTTCTTACTGTTTTCGCCATGTCTTGACCTTCTGGGAGCTGGCTCATCCTCGCTTTCACTCTCATCATTCGTGTATCGGTTAACCGCACCAAACCTGTCCTCATTTGGAGCCCTCGATCCATGTTGATACCCCACCTCATCATCTTGACCCGCGGTCTCCTGACCTCTGTTTCCTTGATCTGATCCAGATTCGTATCTTTCACTGGCAGGTCTCCTTTGCTCCCTCTTTGTAGCCCAGTTGTTGGGCGGAGGCGGATGGAGGAAAGGTGGGATGCCAATGGGACGATTGGGTCGGCCAACACCAGCCATTGGTATCCCGCCCATGAATGCTCGGCCCGCACCCATTATCATTCCCAGTCCACCCATAGGAAAGTAACCAGGCTGGGGCGGCCGACCCGGAAACCCTAAACCAGGCATAGGACCTGCTCCAGAGAAGTCGCCAGAAAATCTTGGGCCACCATATGGAGGGAAAACCCTGGGCGGTCCTCCAAAAATATCTGGTGCACCAAAGCCCTCGTGACCAACAGCTCCATAACCGAATCCATCTACACCCATCATCACAGGAGGGAAGCCTCGGATGCCAAGAACTGGTCTTCCTCCCCGTGCTAGTTGCATGGCAGGTTGCCAAAACATCCCTCTTCCTCTTCCTCTTCCTTGGAGGCTGACTAAACTATCATCCTCTTCATCACTCTCATCCTCCTCCTCTTCTTCATTGTCATCAAACAACACAATATCTGGATTTTCGGCTGTATCATCGGCGTTGCTGGCACCCTTTGCTTTCTCTTCCTCGCGTTTAGATTCCGCAGCAATCAGCATTTGCTGGACCATGATTGAATTTCAACATCATCATTTTGAGAAATTTAATAGCAGGAATATAATAGCATTGAAGAAGATTGACAAACTCTTAAGAAAAAAGACCATGATCATGATAGGAAACACTTGTAGATCTCAAGTATTTACTATCAATCTTCGGAAAACAGCGAGAAACTCTTTCAAACTCCAATGAAAATCAAGAAAAACAGAAGATTTTATCGCAAAAATCAACTAACGGAAGAAAAACAAACAAGATACAAGTGATCCTCAATTTGAGAGGATGATCAATCTCTACCAATCTCTAGACGCCGCTAGAGCCCAAGACAAACTAAGAGATCTCAAATTTCAGCCAAATTCAATATGCTCTAATCCTAGGAAAACAAACTATTTAATGCATACAAATCAAAAGGAAATCCCTAAACAGTCCCTAAATTCAAATTTCCCTCTCAAATCCCTCAAAATTCCTTCCAAAACTGCTCTTTGGAACCCGTCGGCTCATGCGGCTTGTACAGGAGGCGAAACTCCGCCATTTCGTGCACGGGTTGGTCCCGTTGGACCGATTGGACCGGTCTAACGGATCATTAGGTCGCTCAAAAAATACATCAATTTCTTTCAGATGCATAAGAAAAACAATGGTATGATGTATTTTCCGAACTTCTTACTATTTTGAAGAAGCAAAACGCAAAAGCATGAGTCATTGAATTCCTATTGCCCACAAGGCATAAACCAAAAGATGAATCCTTGTACGATATGCTCATTTAATTGTGTTAAAAAGCTATTGTTATGGATTCCAGTTGCTGCAAACACAAGCACAACCAAACATGCACGAACCAACTCAATCACCCACAGACGGGCTAAAATCCTTAATTATTTATAGCAATTCTCTAATATTGTTTAAATGGTATGCAGTTTGTAACAAGAAGGCAACTCAAACGCAGTAAAATGAATTTCCTTTCAAATATATCGTAGTAAACATTAGGCAATTATGGCAATTAACAATTACATATTCAATTATGTGAACGTTTGGTCACCTGTGTTCAATAATATGAAAATACCTAAAAATTAAAAAATCCAGTTATGGCAATTAACAATTTTCTTGTATGCGCATAAGCAAATAATAAAACTGCTAAACTAAAAACAGGATACTCAAATTTAAATGTACAAATAAAAAATCACAAAACTTGACAAATAACGACAATGAATAAAAAAACGAACTACGCATTTTAGGAGAATCGATTGACTGCAGTCTTAAATATGGCATAATATCTACATAATGTTCAGAAATTATATGGCTATGTGGACTTCTATCTGAACTTGATTTAAATTAAAAAAAAAAAGTCACTTCCTACAAGCTAACAATACCACTATCATCCAAACTATTTCTAATTATTGATCTCATTTTTTACTGACTGTTGGCTCAAGAAAAACGACGCATCGGCATGAATCCCGCTTTGCAGACATAGGATTTTATTCCCTTTAAATCAAATTATAATTAATCATATTTCCACTGAGGATGGTGTCAGGGTTTAATTAGATCTGGATGCTTACTTCCCATTAGCGCAAGCACTCATAATTAACCCTCTTAACACGTAAGAGAGAACTCTCGATTAAGAATGAATAAATTTTAAGTGTTTGTCCCAATTATCGGGAAAATGGACAACAACACAATCAAGATCTTATAGTTTTGTCGTCCCGGGTATACCGTAGGTTTCAGTCTACAAACACTAACAATCATTGACCGTAGTATCTAAGGAATCTAATTAGTAGCCATGGGTTGCCTCCTCTCAGAGATCTTGAGTAGACTGAGGTGGTTAGATGTAAATTTTAGTTTTATTGAATTTTTGAAGTTTACATCTATTATTATACCAACAAATTAATTTAGTTTGAGATTTATAACTCCGTTTAGAAGTTACCCAGATGTTTAAATTGAAGTTGGTCTTACGGCTTCTATTAGTTTTAGCCCAGGTGTTTAAATTTTGGGTTGGGACTTACAACTTTCATTAAAATTATCCCATAAAGCAGGTCTTGCGGCTTCTATTAGGAGTAGTCCACTAGTGGGTCTTACAACTTAGCCATATAAACTAGGCTGACCATTTTTTAATTTTGTTAACAGGTCCTATAACTCTTTTAGAAGTTGATTGTAGGTTTAATTTGGAGTGGGACTTACTGCTCTACTCATGAGTTACCCAAAGATGGATCTTTGCAACCTAACTCTACAGCAAGTCTATCCGTGGATTTAATTATTTGGGTAGGCCTTACAGTTTCTCTTAGGAAGTTGCCTAAAAGTGAATCTTACAATCTAATCATTCAGATTAAGATATCTATTAGTTTTTGTTCGAGGGCTTGATATTTCATTTAAATTTTTTTCAAAATAATAGGTCTCACAACTCTTATTAGAATTTGCCTAGTTATTTGGGTAGGACGGGTCTTATAGCTTCCCTTTGGAAGTAGCCTAATAGTGAGTCTTACAACCTAGCCCTATAGGCTAAGATTCCCATTATTTTTTACTTATTTGTTTGAGCAGACAACAGTTGTTTGTTAGCTTGACATTAGACTACGGTTTTTAGTTATTTACTAGCTTGACACTTACTAAATAGTAGTTGTTGTGTGACACTAGTGCTTCTGTTACAGTACTTTGCTCTTTTTCTTTTCAGTGTCGTAGATTGTACTAGTAGTTACTTTATCGGTAGCCTGTTCTACTTGTTTTACTTTTTGTCTGTAGCTTAGCATAACACTTACTCTTTTTTCTGTTTTAGCATTCATTTTGATATTAATTTAATTTTGATGTAAATGAATTTTATTTGCTTGTTGCAGTAACTTGTGTTGATTCAGAGTTTAGAGGGTTTGCAATGTTTGTGAAGAGTAGAGTTTGAGAGTTTGTGAGTTTTGTATTTGAGCTGGAGAGTTTGTAGGATGTGTTGAGTTTGTTGAGTGTTTGTGAGTTGGAGAGTTCTGTAATCTGTACAAGTGCTAGAGTTTGGAGAGTTTTGAACAGGTGTCAATGTTTTAGAGAGTTTGTGAGTTGGAGAGTTTGGAGAGCTGTTATTGGTTGTATAGTATTGAGTTGTACATTCTTACTGCAAATATTATTTTTTCTGCATTTTCTTTATAATTGCATAATTAATTAATTAACTAATTAACCAAGAAAATTTTCTAGTTAATTGTATTAATTAATTAACTAATAAGAAATTTGATTGCTCACATTTAATTAATTAACAGGCTCCAAGATTTGAAACAGCTCTCAAATTTCTTTTTAATTGCTCTCAGATAATTAATTGCTCCTGGATTTTAAATTTGCTCTTGAATAATTAATTAAAATTAACTACTTAATTTTAATTAATTAACTTTAATTAATTAATTTTAATTCATCAACTAATTTTAATTAATTAATTATAATTGACCAATTAATTAATTTCAATAAATCAATTAATTTTAATTAATCAATTAACTTCAATTAATCAATTAACTTCAATTAATTAATTTCAATTATTTTTAATTAACCAACATCTTGTTGAACTTGCAAGTTTATATATGGCAAACATCTCTTGCTTTGCAGGAGATATAATTGTCTTATATCTTTCAGGAGGGGATTGAATTTATTTCATGCATTGTAGGAGAATAGAAAAATTGTCTTATGTCTTTTAGGAGGGGATTAGATTTATCTCCTGCCTTGCAAGACGATTTTCATACATAACATCTTTTTGTTTAAGTAGTTATGTGTGATTTTCTTTAAATATTGATCATTTATTGGTGGCATGTCTTTGACCTTTTAGGTTTATGAGTTAATAAGCTCCTTCCTCATACACTATTTCAATCATGAAGGATCCTTTTCAGATTGGGTCAAATTTACCATCGAGACGACGTTAAGGGATTATAGGTTTTCGGTGAACCAGAACAAGTTCACATTCTTTAAAGCTTCTAGGAAGAACCATCCGATCATGATCTCTAGTCATTCTTGCTTTGTAGGATTCTAGAATTTGTTGAGCTTGAAGTGAGTCATTCTGGTAAGTCCTTCCTCCATCTAATTAGGTTATCTACTGTAACAAAGTATAAGACCATAACAAATTATTTTATGCATCCCTAGCTCACCCTTTGACCTCCTATTCCAAGGCTAAGGTCAATGTACAATGCTACGAGAAAAGCTACATTTATGTGATGCAAATAAAACTTTAAAACAAGACTTAACGAATGCTTGTTATAAATAAATTTAGCTAGCCTATATGTTGAGTTCTACACATAAGGCAAATCCAGGTGACATCGTAGCCAACATCACCAAAGCATATCAAGTTCTAGCAAAGTAGTTGTGACATGCCCCTAGGAGAGCTTCACCTTGAAAACCCGGAGGCGAAGCTCCTTAGAAGATTGACTTTGATGCTTGGATAAACAGATTAGATATTTCAATGAATTGGATTGACGATTTTGAGATATATCACACAATCAATTTTTTTATCAAGTACACTTGATTAAAAAGGTACGAGCAACATGAACTCTGAATTGAATTCACCATATTCTTGGCAAAATTCGATGAGCTGATTTTTGTATTTGGTCAACAAACTTATAATCCAATCATCCATGTGGTTCAGTGACAATGGGTTGACTGCATTATAGTTAGCTCAAGCATAATTTGGGCATACAATAATATTTAACAATCTTTGTAAGAAAGCGAATAGACAACAGGCTGGCAAGCAATTGTGGGACATATAAAACTTCTAAGATAGATAATGATCTGTAAGGATATACAATGCCCTTCACAAAGATAGAAGAGTGCGAACCATCGGCGACAATGATAAATGGTAGAGAGGTCATTTATCATTTAGAGAGAGAAAAATAATTAACATTTAATCTGTCATTTGAGAAGAGATGCCTAAATCCAAAACACAATAAGTGAAAGAAGAGACATGCAATAGATCCATAGGAAGTGATATCATGAGATGATGAAAGAAATTTTAGAGATTATTGAAGCAATCAATCATAAGCTTATCAAGAGATAGTTGCAGGTCCAAAGG